CAGAATCGGTAGACTGGGTGAATTGGAGAACCAGCAAGGAACACCATTCGCAGAACTCTGGGTCGAAGGTGTCACCAATCCAACAGGCAGCATGACAGAGGCAAAACGGGTGAATGTTACCTTGAGACCAGGAGACCTTCACAGAACCACCTTCGAACTTGCCAAGGCGGGATGTTTGAAAAGTCAGCATATGCATAAAATACTTAGAGGTGTTTGAAAAGTCAGCAGAATATTTTGCATAAAGTCACCCATTAAAAGGAGGAGAATTCCTAGCAAAGGATGCATTCATTGGAACAATGAGAACCAGTGGGGTTTTCCAGGGCCCTTAGACTGACTTTTAAGTGAAGCCCAGGCAAGGTACTGCTAACTGGTTGGCCCAAACTAACGAAAGATTAATTAAAAGGTGAACCCCTGCGATGTATACAATCATGGGGACCTAGCGGGAAACCACCAGAATAACAGAGGGTGGACAATAACCAAAGGGCAGACCCCTCCATCTCAGGCAACAAACAAAAAGAAAAAGAAACCCCCTGCAAAAGTACAACGTCTTCAGGAGGAACAAAACTAGCTGCTGTGTAACAGGTGACAAGCTGCACTGTACCTTGTGCCCCTACCAGCGACGATATTACCTCCTACCCAAGGTTAAACAGCGGAAATGAAAACCCCAGCTGACCCCAAGGGTGGGGTCAGCTGGGGTTTTCACCGAGCAATCAAAAATCACCAAGCAGCACAACATCCCTACGGAGGTAGTTCCCGAACAACTTGTGGTAGGCAACCCCAAGCCGCAAGTTCAGTACTTACAGGGCACCTAGGGTAGGCAGCCATAGCCGCATGCAGCCCCAATACTCCGTGAATTACTCCTGGATCGCACACCACCACACAGTAGAACAACAACACAAAGGCACAGCTTTGCTCAGAGACAGGAACCAAAGTCGAATGACTGCCACGCAACACAACACAGCCTCGGAACTGGGATTGGATGGCAGGTGCAAGGGGTCTGGTGCTGTGCTTCCCCATTCCCCCTCCCGGGGAGGGGGGAGCTGTGCAGACAGCGGCACGGCAGCGGTTGTGACATCATGCTTGTTTGCTTGTTTTCAGATTGTGGAGTTCTGCTTGATAGTTCGGTTTTCGGTAGCAATTTTAATCAGGTGCAGTTTGTTTTGAGATGCCTACCTTTCTGGGTGCCTAACCTGGTAGATGGCAGGCATAGATTGCTTCCAACCACATGGGGGTTTCCTATAGGCCATTGCTCCTCATGCCTCTATTAGAGGGCCAGGTTCTGGCTCGTGATCCTCGGTAGGCTAGAACTCCAGTTGAATTGACTGATGTCACAGTCTAATACACACATATCAGCCAGGTGTAGCTCCAGGGAGCTGGAGGGGCTCTTCACAGAAAAATAAAAGATTCAGTTAATCATCACCTTTGCAAAATGCCTATAATTATATTTTTTCCAAGAAAGAAATTAAATACAGTGCTTATGTAGTAGCAGTATACAAAATAATAGTTTAAAACAGATTATACAGTAATTATAAATTTAATACATGGTAAAAGTAAAATATTTTGAATGAATCTGTACATAATATTACTTTCCAACCATCTGATTACTCTGCAAGCATCAAAGATGTACAATGAGCCATTCACAATAGTTATTGCAAATAGCAGCAAACTATACACTGCTCTGATCTGTGAAAGATCAATGTACTGTATTAAGGTAAGGTAATTATCAGAGCCTCCTATGCAGCTCATGAGTTTTAAGCTTCATTGCTGATACAGTACATAACCAATATAACCTAATGTAATATCATGTAAGTTAACTTAACCTAACCTGATGTGATGTAATGTAATGTAACCTAATGTAATGTAGCATAACGTAACAACTTTTACCTATACTTATAATTTTGTAACATTTAGTGATGATCAGACAGTTCCATGTGACAGCTCCTAAATTTGCCTTATGATAAGCTCAGTGTTGACTGGAGTGTGTTGAATAAGCTTAGTGGCTATTGCATAAAAGGCTGACATAAGCTTAGTAGTGATCAGATCAAGTGCTCCAACAATTAAGACACGACAATAATCTAAACCCTTGTCACCAGACGTTCAAAGTATATGGCCATTGTTATAAGCCTCTAAATGTATAATTGGGCTACATTTGGTGATGACTGGAGCATTTGCTCTCGAGAAGACCATGGTCAGGGCTGCCAAGGGATAAGCGGCATCAATGAATATGTAGCAGCAGTGAATATGAAATATGAAAACACCTAGCCTGTACTAAGATACTTAAACACAGGTTGATAACACCCAGAATGAACAGCACATCCAATAAAATCGACCAGTAAGAATCTACAAGTTTAAAGCCAGTTTAAATGCAACAGGACAAGAGTACAACACAGAACATATGAAGTATAAATGAGTCACAGAGTGTAACCCAACACAATAAATAGCTTATACAACACAGCCACAGAATGCAACTTGATACAACAGTGTATACAATACAGCCACAGAGTGCAACCCAATACAGTGGTGCAACCATCAATGAGTGCAGCAATCAAGTAACACAAAACAGGCATACAGCCCAATCAGAGAGTAACACAAAGTCAGGGAATACAACTCAGGCAAAGAGTAACACAAAAGCAGGGTATACAGCAGTCAGGAAATACAGCACTGCACAGGAGTACAGTACACAATAAATACAGCATTGCCAGAGAGAACAGGAACAATAGCATAGCCATGGGGGAATATATAACACAGAAAGAACATATTTAGGGAATAGCATTATCAAAGAGAGTAGAGCATAGTCAGTGAGTATAACACAGTCAATGGTGAGAGAACAAACATGGACTATAGAACAACCACAGACTACAGAACGGTTAGAGTACAGCAAAGCCAGGCAAAAGCCCAGACTCATAAAATCTCATTTCTGTTACACTGTATTTCAATCATCTAGCATAAAAAGATAATTGTTATTAAAAAAATATGGGTCATTCACAGAATCCTCCAATGCTACTTTTACAATATAAATACAAATTTAAAAACAAAAATGTATTAATAAAATTCAAAGTTTTCCTTGAGAATGAGAAGCACCACCTCACACTGAGGACTGAAGTGTGTCCCAAACATTACACTTCTACACAAGAACCTACAAATTCTTTGGCTACAACAATGGATCAAGTCTCCATAAAAGAAAAGTTGACTAAATTTTGCATATCACTCTGATACACTTACTAGTTTCTTTGAGAAGATCAATTTCTTTAATGTAATGTAATGATAAGTGACGGGCACACCACCATAGATACCGTGCTGCGCATGTCCATCATTTGCCATAAAACAGTGTTCGGATTTTAACATAAAAAAGAATTCTCACAGAAACACTACTCTACGGTGTAATTAAAATCATCTGGCTCTTTCATTAAAGAAAAAAATTACAGCATAATGCATTACTGTACCTTCATATCTTTGGCTCTGTTCTGATTTTCATAAATATTTTAAAGTTCATTAAACAGGCCAAAGCAAAGTGTCACATTATCCCTCATTGTATTTATGTGTTCATTGTTGCTAAGCCAAATAAATAAAATTAAAATTCAAACAGCTCTCTGACAAAATAATGACTACAATGAACCGAGTTGTAAGTAACTCAAATTTTTGGAAAGTTTTGAACAATAAAAAGGTAAAATATAAAACCACAAATATTTACATGCCTATTTTAAATATGTATAATAAGATATTTTCCTTAATAATTTCTTTAGTAAATATCCATATAAATACATTTGCAATTGGAGCATAACTATCTAAAAATATATAATTTAATTTTATAAACATTATAAACAGAAAAACAGCAATAAAATATCAAAATAAAATTATAAATACCTGGTAAATAAATATCATTGTGCTCACAGGTAGAGGACCAGGCGGCCTTGGTGGCCCATGGAAGCACTGAGTGAAGGTAATAAAAGTGTACCCCTTCTACCACCGATGATTCTATACACTACAAAATGAAATCACAGTAACGTGATATATATATCAATGAGAAAATCATTGTCTGGGAACACCCAGGGCACAGGTTCGAACCCTCATCACGGCTCCCATGGATTTTCTCACCGATGATTCTGTTCTTTGGCTACGGTTACGGTATACAGCAGCCAGCATCACCAAGTGCTCTGCTATGTTTTATCAACTTTCACGCCGTTTTGTCCAACCTATCCTCAAAGTTATTGCAACATGATTTTTTATGTAATTAAATTTTTAAAAATCAAAATAATGAAGCTTCTTTGGACTAATTACCACTAGCCACAATGAGTTAGGTGGGTTGCCTAGGTTTAACTACTTTTGATTAGACAATAGCACTTTCAATTTGGTGGTTGTCAAATTGTGAAAACAAGCTGATCTTATCATTCCTTACATCCTTTCTTGATCAATTTTCTTATTCATTTGTTTGGTTTAGTTGTTTGTATTGGCTTTAATTTAATTGTATGTCCAGTATATGGTTGCTGATGATATAATTAACCTTTCTATATATTCATGCTTGTCAACAAGAATAAAAAGTAAGGCTTTAGTTATGGGCCTCCCAAGCTATCCTTTGCATTTGTAAATGTTTTAAATGTTCTTTCAAACATCTTAAAATACTTGGAGGTGTTTGAAAAGTCAGCAGAATATTTTGCATAAAGTCACCCATTAAAAGGAGGAGAATTCCTAGCAAAAAATAGCTAGAACTACAATAACTATTCCCATGAGAAGTTATTAGTATTCAATAATACTGACAAATATAATCCATAAAGTATATTGACCAGACGACACACTAGAAGGTGAAGGGACGACGACGTTTCGGTCCGTCCTGGACCATTCTCAAATCGATTGTGATGAGGATGTAGTTGTTATAGATTCAGCTACTCGGAACAAGTTCCAAGTAGCACGGGCTATGGTGAGCCCGTAAATGATCATAAAAAAATTGACATCGTGAAATGTCGTCATCCTTTCACCTTCTAGTGTGTGGTCTGGTCAACATACTTTAGCCACATTATTGTGACTCATCGCCTGCATAATCCATAAACTCATTGTTGTCAAAATATTTATAGAATTCATCAAAATGTTAACTCTATACTCACCACTCTGATTCTCACTTGAATATGTCAATACTGTACTGCATTGGGTACTTTCAATACCAATTAAAATAATCCCACACTAATCCCCATTTTAAAAATTCCAGGGGAAAAACTAGGTTAACAAAGAAATAGTGCAGAAAACCAAATAAATTCTGGTAAATGTCACTACTACATACATGGCTGTGTTTTAACACTCACAGTGAAGGATTTTCCAGTACTGTATCACAATTACCTCATATTATATCTTTCACAAATTTTTGTGAATACATTAATTTAAAGAAAGTCAATAGGAATATACCCTATATAAAAATATTAGATAGCTCAATGAGATATATTACTACTTTAAACAAATTTAATCTAAACCCTTTCAGCGCTCCAATCACTATCTGCAATCTCTTCCTGTGCTCAAAATGCCATGTGAGTGACCCTAATGGGGTTTCAATACTTTTTTGTTTATGTGCACCTGGCTGTTGTACTTTTAAACAACTTAGCTGCTAAAGGATTAATAGTTCTTGAAGTTTAGAATTAATGTCAATTTTTTTAAATAAATAAAATGATGTTAACATTTCTAATTTCCCACTGAAAGGGGAAACACTAACAAAATTGACACATATATATTACATGCTTAATGGCTTAATATAATTTCATTTAACTGCTATCTGCAAACGGAGAGGAAGTGTGTGTGATATATTTATGTAAAGAATTCGTTGTTAAACACTACAGAAATCCTTATTGCTAGCACTATAACCAAACATGTGATTATACCATTAAGCAAAACCTCTAAGTATGTGACAAACATAAACTCACAATACTCATTTGCATATTTTACAGTAATATGTGATAGTTATCACAATAATACATCCTACATAGTAAAATGCAAAGCATCTAGTAAAATTACAGCACCAATATCCTAGAACCCAATACTCAACGACACAAAAAGTGCCTACCCAGAGGGCAAAAAAAGTTCAAATAATGTTTAATCAACAAAGAATTAACGTTATCAACGTTGATTCAGTGTTACATCAAAGTCATTTGCCCAGCTTTGCCTAACGGGGTAAGTACTGGGTAAGTCTTTTATTTATACCGAAATGCAGTATCATCAACTGCTAATTTTTAGCAGAATAGTTACTAAGTCATTAAACAGTATCACCATTTCACTGTAAATGTATATTATCTGAGGTGTACTATGATACAATAACTTTTTGTAATGAATACACCAGAAGATGAGAAATCACTGCTATTTTCTTTCAGCAATGAATTTGTGTTCATTAATTTTGTATTAATTTATGGCTTTATATATATAAATGCTTTTTTGTAAGCATGCATATACTATAATGTACACACATATAATGTATACATGTATGTGTTATCAATATCACCTGACAGTAAACAAACTTACTGTCACAGATCACAAAATTTATAAAAGTTACTATTCATTTGGAATACAGGTAAGAAGATATTTTTCCATGGCATATAACATACAATACTGCAATGCATATTGCATATCCCTCATAATGCATAATGCTCTAGTAGAGTATCTGTTGAAATTAGACTCTCCTGAGGAGAGATCTTCAGTCACAGCTCTGTCGTTACAGAATGATGTGTTTTCTTGAACTGCGCTACATACAACCTTTATAAGAAATTATGGAAGATCCACTTTTCATTGGTCAGTTCCCTACACATTCATAGTCTACTGCACTGGTGTCAACATCTGTCTTACTTGTATCGTGGCCGACGGAAGATCCACAGGAAAATATTTTTAAATCTTCTCCAGCGTGACAAGGGTTTACTTCTACTAGCAGGAGCTCCTTCAATCGCCTCCTTTTGTTTCTTTCGAATTTCTCTCACAAGCATGTGGAAAGCATCATCAACAAAGTGTCGTAAGGCAGCAGATGTTTCAAAAAATGGGCAGCCCATAGAATGTGCAAGTGCTTGCCCTTCTTCTGTTGTAACCTAAAAGAAAAAACAAATTTTTTTTTTTTTTTCCATTAAGTTAACATTACGTTAACTTAATGCATTTGTTGTCAGAAACAGGAAACCTTTACATAGACTTACTGAGGTCCCCTAGGCCAATTACTGACCTTCCATAGGATGCAACCCACTAAAACTGCCTAACTCCTGGGTACCTATTTATTGCTAGGTGAACAGGACCTCAGATGAAAGGAAATCTGCCCAACCATTTCTGTCTTGCCTAGGAATTGAATCCAGAATCCCTGATTGCGAGTCGAGGGCATAGATCACTGTACTACAGGACCCTTTTAATTCACATTCATAGTGCTACACAAGTTTTGAAATGCAAAACATATTGATGAAAGCTTTGACAATGTGTCCCATTTATGTGAATCCATCTATTTTCAGGGGAAGTATACCTTGAGAATGTCTTGAAATGTAGTCAAAAGCCTGTTTCCCTTTTTAACATAGAGGAATACATATGGAATAATATCCAGTGTTGAATGCAATAAAATGCCCCTTTCTGGTGGGTCCATCTGAGCCTCCGCAAGTCACCAAGAGATCCATCCCAGAAAATACTGTGCAGTATGAAGATGACATCATACTACAGAAGCAGCATTAGGGTAATATATTGTGCATTTCATTTTTAATGTACTGTACCTCTACAAAACACAGAAAATTAATACTGCACAATGCATGAGAGGAAAACACTAAGGGGATGGGGTTGGCACTTGCAGTGTCTAGTGCTATTGCCCCAGGAAATTTACATTCTGGGAAAGATTAGCTGTTTGTTAAGGACATCTTGATGAGTCTAACAGGTTTCCTGTTCTAGAAAATAGGAAACCAAATTGTCAATTCATACAAAAATTTTCCAGAACTAGAAAAAAAATAGCTTCTGAAAAAGGATTCCTGGTTCACACACAAATCACAATAGCATGATACTGTATATCAAATGAACAAATCCACAAAGGCCTTGCTGAGGGTTCAAACCTATGCACGGGATGTTCCCAGAAGTGCCTTAGTCAACTGTACCATGACATGGTACAGTTGACTAGGAGTTGTAAAACCTGGAGTGCTACTGCCCTCACTAGGATCCCAAAGCTCCCGATTCTGGGAACATCCCATGTGTAGGTTCGAACCCTCATCACGGCCCTTGTGGATTTGTTCATTTGTTGATTCCTGGTGTCTATAAGTAACACCAAGACAAATAGAAATATCCATGATACCAGGTTCACTATTGCAACATATCTCAAAGTCAACTTCCCCTATAACATTTATACCGGCAGTTTCCCAGGTACGAATGAGTTATATTCTGAGACCGTGATTGTAAAGTACTGTATATGTTTGGAACGCAGATCAAGATTTTCCATAGGCACAATGCTATAAGTGGGAGATGCATTACCAGGACACCAAAAATCCTCACAAAATTAATATTTTGGAGATATAATATAAAAAAAAATTATTTACCTTGAATGATGGAGTTACCCTGCATGTCAAAGTTAGCTGTCTTTGAAGAGTAAAATGGTATAATTACATCAATAAATAAATGAAAATACATGTGCAATGTATTGGTAGTCCATCATTTTGTAATTACCCTCAGGAGTAAATGCCTCCCCACCCTCCTCCTATCTCTAGCCCAGGGCCCCACCCCACCAACAAAGTAAACATGATCAATCATGTGAGTGTGGGTCATTGAGGACTTGAGGCCACTGGTGGGAATGTATCATACACACACACGGCTACAGGGGGCCGGTGGCTGAGCGGACAGCACGCTGGACCGTGATCCTGTGGTCCCCGGGTTCGATTCCGGACGCCGGCGAGAAACAATGGGCAGAGTTTCTTTCACCCTAATGTCCCTGTTACCTAGCAGTAAATAGGTAGCTGGGAGTTAGTCAGCTGTCACGAGCTGCTTCCTGGGTGTGTGTGTGTGGTGTGGGGGAAAAAAAAAATAGTAGTTAGTAACAGTTGACTGACAGTTGAGAGGTGGGCCGAAAGAGTAGAGCTCAACCTCCGCAAGCACAACTAGGTGAATACATACAGCCACCCACCCACACAAACCTACACCCGCTGTGCACCTCCCACCCCTCATTTCATCAAATATCAATAGTACATAGGTTTCAAATAGGTTACTAATAATTACACTTACCTTTCGATGCATTGGATCATCCAGATCTACTTTATTCCCAACCAAGACAATTGGAATGGAATCTGCAGCACGAACTTTAGTGATAAGCTTTTTGTAACCTGCAACCTCCTCAAAGCTACGACGATCCGTCAAGGAGTAACAAATCAGGAAACCTTCACCACATCTCATGTACTGGTCACGCATAGCCGTAAATTCAATCTGATTGAGAAATTTATATATTAATGTTTAATAATCAAACTAGCTATATCTTGTTTGCAAATTTTTAATGTTATTATGTTAAAATAAGTAATATTTAATTATTTAAAATAAACAATAATTTGATTCCATCATATAACTATTATCCATGAACATGTTTTTTAAGTAAAATTTGATATTAGTTACAAAAAAGTTTTAAAATTGTAAATTATGACATTGTAAATATTACAACTTTCCCAAATTTTGTATAGAATCTGAAACTAAGAATTTTAAATGATATACTGATTCTGCAATTCCTTAACCCTTCAACTGTGCATAGCATAAGACCACATCGGTGGTGTGCATAGGAACTAGGGGGACAAGTTCAGGTCTATCATAGGATTTAAAACAACCACAGGTAAACATGGCTTGCAGCCTCTTCTCCAGGCCTCCAGTAAACAGATGCTATCTTGGTAAAAAAAAATTGTGGGTACTCCTCCTTGTGTGCGAGGGCCTCACACCCTACCTGTGAGCAAGGGCCTCACGGCCCTCCTGGGTGCGAAGGCCTCACACCCCTCCTGGGTGCGAGGGCCTCACACCCCTCCTGGGTGCGAGAGCCTCACACCCCTCCTGGGTGCGAGAGCCTCACACCCCTCCTGGGTGCGAGAGCCTCACATTCCTTATGGGTGCAAGAGCCACATACAAGCTACGTGTGCATACAATTTTTTCTTTCAGTTCCCCATGATCATTAAATGCATCATAACAATATTTGAAAGAAAAATTATTTTTGTTCTCTTTTTTTTTTGTTGATGAGCATCACGGAGTTGTCACATAAATATATAATGATATGAAACAGGTGTGCAGCACAGGGGTTAAAGATTAAAAGTTCAACTCATTTAGTATGGCAACTTTAGTCACACCAAGCCCTCAATTAAATTTGGTTTTATATTTTAACATGATATATATTTTGGTTATTCTCACACCCCAGGGAAAAATAAAACATTCAGTAACCTAAAAGGAGCTTAACCATTTTTGTCCTCAGTGTCGTAAATAACTCATCATACGTTGAAAACCCTCATAGCTACTTTCTCAACTTGGGCTTCTATTCAGCAAAAGCCAGAGAGCTTTCTGTGCACACCAAAGCCTGATAAATTCCTGTACAGTCAAGGGATTACTATGCTAGGGAGGCACTGGAGAGTAGGTCAATCTAGTTTAAAATGACAAACAGCAGTTTATTCACATAACATTATTGGTGACCTTGTAATGGGGTAGGATATGGTAAAATCATACACAAAATTGCTCACCAAAGCTCATTTTCTGATTGTCAAAACTGTATACAGTGTACTGTATCATTAGGTTAGGATGTATTAGCTAAGGTTAGGCTTCATTGGCTTGGGTTAGGTTAGGTTGGGTACAGTTAGGTAGGTTTTAAAATACATTGGCAAATCATCTTGCATCAGGTATCGGCTAGGATACCTTCCAAGATCACTACCCGGCAGCAGCATTTCACCATCAGTTCCCTACCATCGGACAACCTTTCATACCCCCTTGATGGCAATAAAGCCAACTCTAAGCATGGAAGAAGAATGGGCTGAAAGATTAGATCAAAGCAGCATAATGATCTACCCAGAAAGGTGCTTTTCATAAAATGTACTGTAACTCAAAGATTCACCCATACTGCTGAAATAAGACACAAATTGAGACATGAAATTTAAAGGTAACAAAGTCAACAGAATTAATGAGATATTGCTGACACACTAACAGAAGTGGTAAATGAGTGGAAAGTTATTTAAGCCTCAACTGAGCCTAGCTTAACACTATCGCACTCCGTTGCCGACGTTCGTCATCATGTATTTTTTTTGAGTCATCTCGGTTGCCTCTGTCTTGCGTCACTCATTAATATATTTGTTAAAAATTTTAATTTTATCCGATCAATCTGGGAGTGGTTTCAAAATAAGCGCCTTTAGATTGTGCACAATTTGACACCAAAATGAAAGACATAACACGAAAATTTATGTCAGAACACTGGAAAGATATAAATAATTTTGTGGTGATGAGTGTCAAAAAGTGTCCAAATAATAAAATATTTGCTAAAATTCCATTTATTGTTCTATTATTATGGAACTAGTTTTAAAATATGCGCCTTTATATTGCAAACAATGATACCAAAATGAAAGACGTGACCAAAAATTGATGTCAGAACACTGGAAAGATATAAATTTTTTTGTGGAGACCTGACCAAATGTAAACTGTGTCAACAAAATTATTCGCACACCCTCCGTCACTATGTGATGGTGTGTGAAAAGATACATTTATTTATTTATTTATTTATTTATTTATGCATATACAAGAATGTACATAAGGAATGTGAGGATACAAATATGGTAATTACAGTCTTGTAAAGCCACTAGCACGCGCAGCGTTTCGGGCAGGTCCTTAATCTAAGAAAATTTTAAGGAGGTAAATACTTGCAAAATTATAGACAAAAAATGATAACAGATTACATGAAATGAAAAAAAGATGAGAGAAAATTGTAGGTACAGTATATTAAAGCACATAGGTAGCTAAGATTGATTGCAATGACAGCTTGAATGGTAGTTGACAAAAAAATTGGTAGGCATAATACAGCAGAAACAATATAAGATTGGTTGCAATGACAGCTTGAATGGTAGTTGACAAAAATTGGTAGTCACAATACAGCATATGGCTAGCACATAAAAGAAGACAGCAATGAACACAATGATAAGGTTGTTTGAAATTACATAAAAATTAGGAGATTGGGTAACACTAGGTACAGAGCAAATTTAAAGCTCAGTGTAGGAAACTAAGATGATGAAGTTAGGTACTTTTTGGTTTTGCTTTTAAATAAGGCAAAAGTTTTACAGTCTTTCAATTCACTAGGGAGTGAGTTCCATAAACTAGGTCCCTTAATTTGCATAGAGTGTTTACACAGATTAAGTTTGACCCTGGGGATATCAAAGAGATGTTTATTTCTGGTGTGGTGATAATGGGTCCTATTACATCTGTCCAGGGAGAGTTTCAGAGCATGGTTTGCATTTAAGAACAGGGTTTTGTAAATGTAGTTGACACAAGAGAATGTGTGGAGGGAGTTAATATTTAGCAAGTTTAGGGATTTAAACAAGGGAGCTGAGTGTTGTCTGAAAGCTGAGTTAGTTATCATTCTGATAGCAGATTTTTGCTGTGTGATGATGGGCTTAAGGTGGTTTGCAGTGGTAGACCCCCATGCACAGATACCATAATTAAGATAGGGGTAAATTAGTGCATAATATAGTGAGAGGAGAGCAGAGTTAGGAACATAATATCTGATTTTGGAGAGTATACCAACTGTCTTAGAGACTTTCTTAGTTATGTGTTGAATGTGGGTGCTGAAGTTGAGTCTCTTGTCTAGGAATAGGCCAAGAAACTTGCCATCATCTTTATTACTGATGTTAATGTTGTCTATCTGTAGCTGAATTGCATTTGATGATTTGCTTCCAAATAAGATGTAGTAAGTCTTTTCGATGTTTAATGTTAGTTTGTTCGTTGACATCCATAAGTGGACTTTTTTTAATTCATTATTCACAACATTATTTAGTGTATGTGGGTTGAGGTTTGAATAGATAAGAGTAGTATCGTCAGCAAACAGTATAGGTTTGAGAATATTAGAGACATTAGGCAGATCGTTTATATATATAAGAAATAGAAGAGGTCCTAAGATGCTGCCCTGTGGCACTCCAACGGTAATTGGTAGAGTGGATGAAGTTGTATCATTGGTGGTTACATATTGGTGTCTGTCACTAAGATAGGATCGGATGTAGTCAAGGGCAAGGCCTCGGATTCCATAATGATGGAGTTTAAGTAAGAGGTAGTTGTGATTAACAGTATCAAAGGCTTTTCTTAGGTCAATGAAGAGTCCAATCGGAAACTCATTTTTGTCAAGGGCTGAGTAGATAACGTCAAGGAGACTAATGATTGCATCGTTGGTGCTCTTTTGGGACCGGAAGCCAAACTGGCAGGGGCTGAGTATGTCGAATTTTACGAGGTAGGAATAGAGCTGTTTGTAAATAATTTTTTCAAATATTTTTGATAGAATGGGTAGATTTGATATTGGTCTATAATTGTTTATGTCCGCCGGATTGCCTCCTTTATGGACTGGCGTTACTCTTGCTTTTTTGAGGATATCAGGGAAGGTGTGACACTCTATAGATTTGTTGAACAGTAGTGCTATGGGTGGGGCAAGGGCATGGGAGGCTCTCTTGTACACAATGGACGGAATTTCACTGGTGTTCCCTGCCTTGGTTTTTAGAGAGTGTATGATGGACACAACATCTGCCGGGCTGATTGGTGAAAGGAGAAGAGAGTTTGGATAGCTGCCTGAGAGATATGTGTTAATATGTGTCTGAGTCAGTGGGATTTTACTGGCAAGATTAGCACCAACCGATGAAAAGAAACTATTAAATTCATTTGCCATTTCTAAATCAGTTGACGGTATATCCCCATCCTTGTAGAGTTTTATTTGGTTATGTGAGTGTTGTTTAGTTCCTAGGATACTAGAGATAGTTTTCCAAGTGTTTTTCATGTTGCCTTTTGCTTCATTGAATCTATTCACATAATATGCAAGTTTTGCCTTTCTTATGATACTGGTAAGCATTGATGAGTACCTTTTAGCTACTTCCTTTGAAACTAGGCCAATCCTAACTTTCTTTTCATATTCATGTTTCTTGTTGATTGAGTTGAGAATGCCACTTGTGAGCCATGGATTGTTTAATCTTTTGTCAGTTACTTGCTTTGTAAGAAGGGGACAATGAAGGTTGTAGAGGCTTAGAGTTTTGGAGAGGAAGAGGTTAGCTAATGAATTTATATCATGGGTATTATTGAATTCAGAATCCCAGTTAATATTGTGAAGTGCCTCTGTAAGATTGTCTAAAGCTGATTCACTGTGTAGCCTAAATGAAAGTTTCTTGCTTTTTGGTGGTGTTATGTCCATGTTCGCTATGAGAAAGGTAGGATAGTGGTCAGTTGTTCTGTCGTAGATTATACCAGATACAAGGGGAGCTGTTATGTTTGTCCATATGTGGTCCAAGGTAGTGGCTGATGTTTGAGTGACTCGGGTAGGTTTGGTGATAGTGGGGATTAGCATACAGGAGTTCATGCTGTTAAGGAAATAGTCAACTTGAGAGCAATTTTGTTGACCCAGGTCAATATTAAAGTCTCCTCCCAATATTAAAGTCTCCCTACATGAATTCAGAGACAATTCTATAACCAACGTAACAACAATGTGTCAATATTTCTCCTCCTCAATATTAAAGTCTCCCTACATGAATTCAGAGACAATTCTATAACCAACGTAACAACAATGTGTCAATATTTCATTCAAAATGGCCTGCTACCAGAAATTTTAGCCAAATATCCCCAGTTTGCTAAGTGTAGGTAGTAACTAAGAGTGATTGTAACCTATCCACCACTGCCCACTGGATGATGGGGGGGGCGGTGTGCAGGACAAACATATCAATTGTGACACTAGCTCTCCACATATATCAGTTGCTTAATTTAGAAAATGTACTTGTGGTCGATCTTGAACCCATTGTTGATGTGACGACTTATACTGAATTTTGTAACTAACTCATCAAGATTGTAGCTTGCTTAGCTAAATGATTTGTGGGGTTCAGTCCCTGAGCCCATTATGTGCCTCTGTAACCCTTTCCACTACCACCCACAAGATGGGTATGGGGTGCATAATAAATAAACTAAACTAACTTGTTCTCTAATTATGGAACTAGTTTTAAAATACGTGCCTTTATATTGCGAACAATTTGATACCAAAATGAAGGACGTGATGCAAAAATTTATGTCAGAAAGATAATAAATACTTCTGTGGTTCATATTTTAAAATATTTGCTAAAATTCCCTTTATTGTTCTATTACAATGGGACTAGTTTTAAAATACCCGCCTTTTTATTGCGAACAATTTGATACCAAAATGAAAAACATAACACGAAAATTTGTGTCAGAACACTGGAAATATATAAATAATTTTGTTGTGATGAGCGTCCAAAAGTTAAAATATTTGTTAAAATTCCATTTATTGTTCTGTTATTATGGAACTAGTTTTAAAATACACACCTTTATTTTGTGAACAATTTGATACCAAGATGAAACACGTAACACGAAATTTTATGTTATCAAACTGAACGAGTATATACATTAGTCTGCAGGTGTGCCAATTGGTGCTCATTAACTGGTAACTTGGCCGACTTTAGGCTTTGCTGTGGGGAGTCACGCCGGGCTTTTAGACCTTATATGCATATACCCCTGTAGGGAATTCTATTGCAAACACAATGATACCAAAACGAATGACGTAGCACGAGAAATAGGGTGAGAAAACTGAAACGAGTATAAACATTTTACTGATTTTGTGCGCTCACAGGTAACTTTACCGACTTTAGCCTTTGCTGTGGGGAGTCACGGTGGGCTTTTGGACCTTATACGCATATACAGTGGTACCTCGGCTTACGAGCGCCTCTGGTTACAAGTTTTTCGGGTTATGAGCAGGATTTGCCCCGAAAATTTGTATCGGGTTACGAGGGTTGCCTCAGGATACGAGTTTGTTGATACGTGTACGGGCCGACCTAGCGCGTGGTGGCACGGCGATGGCCGCTCAGTTTGCCAGTGCCTTGTGCCCAGTAACTATCCCGCCTGAATTCTTCACAAGGATTTACCGTTTATTTTCAGAGTTTTTGCTATTTGAGCATAAAATTTGTTATAATATACATCGCAATGGGTCCTAAGAAAGCCAGTGGTAAGGTTCAAGGCAAGAAATCGCATGTGAGGATGACAATAGAGGAAAAGCAAGAGATCATTCGGAAGCATGAAAATGGTGCACATGTTGTTGAACTTTGTAGGCAATACAACAAATCCACGTCAACGATATGCACTATACTTGCCAAGAAAAAGGACATTATGAGCGCCAAGTGGCAAAAGGTGTATCAACAAGCACGAAACAAAGACCACAAATACTTGAGAAAGTGGAAAAGTTGTTATTAATTTGGATACACAAGAAGAAGTTAGAGGGTGATAGTGTTTTGGAGGCCATCATTTGTGAGAAAGCCAGGGTATTGCACAAAGACCTTGTAAAGAAAACCCTTGGAACGAGTGCAGAGAAAGACTTTAAGGCAAGCAGGGGATGGTTTGACAAATTTAGAAAAAGAAGTGGTATTCATAGTGTTGTGAGACATGGGGAGGCTGCCAGCTCAGACAAACCAGCCGCTGAGAAATTTATTGAAGAATTTAAAGAGTTTGCAGAGGCTGAGGGATACCTACCGCAACAGGTGTTTAATTGTGATGAAACAGGACTGTTCTGGAAAAGATTGCCTAAGAGGACATACATTCCCAAGAAGGAAAAAGCATTGCCCGGACACAAGCCTATGAAAGATAGGTTTACGCGTGTGCTGTGTTCAAATGCAAGTGGCGATTTGAAAATTAAACCCTTGCTAGTGTATCATTCTGAAAATCCAAGGGTTTTCAAACAGTATAAAGTGCAGAAAAATCAAATGTGTGTGATGTGGAGGGCTAATAATAAGGGTGACTAGGATTTTTTTTTTCGGAGTGGGTGAATGAGGTGGTGTGCCCTGCCATGGAAAAATATCTGCAGGAGAAACATTTGCCACTCAAGGCCCTGCTTCTCCTCGACAATGCTCCTGCTCATCCTCCAGGCTTGGAAGATGAATTGTTGCACAGATACAATAAATTTCTCACAGTAAAGTTCCTTCCTCCTAACACCACTCTTCTAATTCAGCCTATGGACCAGAAAATCATAGTGAATTTTAAGAAACTTTATGAAAGGGCACTTTTCCGGAAATGTTTTGAAGTGACTGAAGCCACAAACCTCACCCTCGAAGAGTTCTGGAAACACCATTTTAACATTTGTAGTTCTTTAAAACTCGTTGACAAAGCCTGGCAAGAAGTGACTCAAAGAACCCTGATCTCTGACTGGAGAAAATTGTGGCCTGAATGTGTGACAGAACTAGACTTTGAGGGGTTTGAGCCTGTAACTAATGCACCCATTGTTGAGGAAATTGTTACTCTGGGCCGGCAAACGGGCTTGGAATTAGATGGTGATGATGTGGAGGAGTTGGTGGAAGAAGACAACGAAGAACTGACCACCGAAGAACTCCAAGCCCTTCAAAAGGAACAGCAAGAAGACCCAGCTGAGGATGTTTCTCCAGTGGAGGAGGATGAGGCAGTAACGAATGTCCCTTCTGCAGACATTAAGAAGTGGTGTCAGAAAACTGAAACGAGTATACACTTTTCGGTGTTGCCACACACTCGCCTGCACCAAACGGCGCACGACGTCATTTCTGCAGCCCGCCCGCACGGAGTGCGATAGTGTTAACTGGCTCAGAGATTACACAGATCAATCTATACGAGAGGGTTTGCCCCCCAAGGGCTACAAATGCAATACCTGGGACAGTGTAAGTATTTCTAAGATTGAAACACCAATTCTTGTAATTTTAGGAAATTTATCAAATTACATTGGTAGGGAACATGGTGTGTAGATGCACTGATGTCAAACTCAAAAAACAGAAAGACAAAACCTTTCATATTAAGATTTTCTGAAAACCCTACTGTACTTCGAAATTACAGTGAATGCAGGATACATAGAATTTTTTGTACCATAATAACATAGGAGATACATGTAGCCCTCACCTGGCCAGCTGTGTCAAGAATATCTAGTAGAGCAGGTTCTCCATCAATAACTGCTTGTCGCTGGTAGGCATCCTCTAAAAATTAATAGATTGATTTAATAGAACACACATCTTTTTTTATTACTTAAATAAAAAATTGGCTAAATTAATATGTAGTTCATAGTACAGTACTGTATTTAGATAATACTTTTACCAATAATAATACAGTATATGTATAATCCAAAAATATAATAAGATACTGTATTAATAAAAGTATTATTATTCAAAAAGTACAATACTTTAAAAAATCACTTAAATCTAAATGTTCTAAGTGTAAAAATATATATACAATACTGTAATGCATGATAAGTCATACAAAATACATACCAATAGTGGGGTCATGATACTCCAGGAAATTATGACTCACAAACTGCAGAGTAAGAGCTGAAAAAATATTCAATATATTAGTATACAGTACAGGACAACTGTAGTGGTTCTTAATGATATACATAGCATAAAACAGTACACATCTTAACATGCCTCTAAAAATATATTGTAGTATTAAATTGATATAAAGCAAAAATTCAACTACAATAGCATATATTTTGTACTGTACAAAACTTGAAAATTATCATAGGGCATGATGATCTACATTTAGGAAATAGTTAACAACAGTACTGTATTGCAAAGTTCAACATATGGAACAGTTTACCAAATGATTTCAATTCAGAATAAAACTGTATTTATATTCAGAATAATACTGTTTATTTCCTTTACCTTGGGCACTAGGAGCCTCAAGACCCATCCTCTGACATGGAAGGCAGACCACTATCAGTGTCTATCAACCCATAATACTATGGTTTGGCATTAAAAAGGAAAGAATCCCAAGGCAGCTAACCACTACTCAAATGGAACTTGCCTATACTGTTGCTGCTAGGCATCCTTACTACATCCTTCCTATAAGCTAGGGAAGGAAATGTGCCCAGACACTTCACCCTGCCTGGGAATCAAACTCAGGGTCTACTCAATTATAAGCTCCCCATGGGACTGTATCCAAGTTATTCACAATCTTAAGGTTAGGTAATGGTTCATTATTCCGAAAATTCATCAATCACTCATGAGATAATACAGCGATTTCTGTTAATAAGGCATTATAATTTCCATTGTCGGCGACAGGAAACCTGTGCTTAGGGTTATCGAAATCCCTCTAGGCCAACTACTAACCTTCCACAGGATGCAACCCACAATTATTCATTAACTCCCAGGTTTTTACTAACAGCTGAACAGATGTATCAGGTGAAAAGAAACATGCCTAACAGTGTCTGTCCTGCCCGGGAATTGAAACCGAACCACAGGACATAGACCACTGTGTTACATGACCCAACAATGTGCCAATCATAAATTAAACATAAGAGACAATCGAAGACATATATAAATATGTCTTCAAATCTGTTGTAAATAATCATGTACTAATCTGGACAGTTGTCTCTAATACCTGTTGTTAATAGCATGCAAGAACATAATTTATTCACCAACATCACTACAATACTAACTGTATTTTATTTTAAGTATTTAAATAAATAAAATATTTTTTTATTCACCAACATCATTACAATACTAACTGTACTTTATGTTAAGTATTTATATAAGTATATATTATATAACTGTCATTCATACCAGTGTCTCGTATCACAAATAATGGAAGTAATTATTAAAAGAAGGCACTAAGCTGGCAAATAATGGAAGTTGAAACTCAACTCTTCCATGTACTCGACCAATTTCATGAATACAACAAGTCTTCCCCCACTAATCAGCATCCTAAGATTACTTTTTTTGTAATCTGGTTTATGTTACTTTGGAGATGATGGTTATCCCATGACAGTGGTTATCTCTCCCTTACCCAAAAACCCACCCCGAGACCCTACAATTCCCAGACTTACTGACTCCAGACCACAGACTTAATAGACTTCCTGACTCCAGACCATAGACTTATTAGACTTCCTGACCCCAAACTACAGATTTAAACTAGCTGACCCCAGGCAGCAGACTTATTAGTCGCATTAGTAACTGACCCCAGACTTACCAGACTTGCCGACCCCGCCCTCGCCCAGAACGACGATTCTGAAGACCTTGGTGCCGTTCCTGGTCTGATGGTGGGTAGTGGGCTGCGCCTGTCCCACTGTGAGTGCCATGCTTCACGCCCTCATGCCCAGTGCCAGACACCCAGTGTCATACACCCAGTGCCACTATCTCACTCTCAAGTCTGTCACTCGCAGGGCACCGAACACAGTCCAGCGACCAGTGTCCCGGTCGCCACCAGCGGTCGCTTCCCAGAACACCTCACAGGTGGACACAACCCTTAATTATTTTAAATTTTGCCCCGAAGAGCTAACTGATTAGTCAGCGACACTCATCCTGCAAGGGGAAGTTTATTATGCAGCCCACATCCATCATGTGAGCTGTAGTTTATATTACCTCCTCAACGGAAGTTGAATTACTGTGCACTCAATATTCCTCACAAAAACAAATCAAATCTGACTAAAAATCGGGAGAGAACATGATATGTAAGACTGATTTATTAGCCTCCACTAGCAAAATCTGGGTACAACACCAGAATATCTTCCAATATTCCTGAGTGTAAATTTGTGCGCCCCTTGAGGGACTTGAAGTAGAGGGGGGGGGGGGGTAGAAATAGCCTAAGCTACTCTATCCCTTTGAGATGTATTTCTTTCTTATCGCAATAAACATACTTGAACTGATCCTGAGTGTATGAAGTAATTACAGTATTGAATCTGGTAATTTCTCTCCTGATTCAATGTATACATACATATATATGGCCACTGCTTCGCAAAGCGGGGATGTTTCTGATGGGGGAGAAAGAAACATTTGCGCAGCGCGTCCCGCGGCGTTGCGCGGGCAGTCTGGGGCCGTATAAATACGGGGGCACAGAGGGGCTCTGCCCTCACTCCGCCTGCCCCCGCCGCTGCCCTCGCAAAGTCACCTCATTCTTTGGGGCACACGTGAGGAACACAAATGCAAAGAATGTGCCCCAAAGAATGAGGTGATTTGATAAAATGCTATGCCCAAGATTACCATCCGAGTGCCGGCGGGGAAGTGGTTCAAATAGCTTCGGCTATCACTTCCTTATGTCCGGTCGTGATGGTCAAGCGGATTAAGGCGTCCCTGTACATACCAGTTGCGTTGCTCCTGGCAGTATGGGTTCGAGTCACTTCTGGGGTGTGAGTTTTCAGATGTATATAGTCCTGGGGACCATTCAGGCTTGTTTGCATTTGTGTTCCTCACGTGTGCCCCAAAGAATGAGGTGATTTGATAAAATGCTATGCCCAAGATTACCATCCGAGTGCCGGCGGGGAAGTGGTTCAAATAGCTTCGGCTATCACTTCCTTATGTCCGGTCGTGATGGTCAAGCGGATTAAGGCGTCCCTGTACATACCAGTTGCGTTGCTCCTGGCAGTATGGGTTCGAGTCACTTCTGGGGTGTGAGTTTTCAGTTGTATATAGTCCTGGGGACCATTCAGGCTTGTTTGCATATATATATATATATATATATATATATATATATATATATATATATATATATATATATATATATATATATATATATATATATATATATATATATATATAATATATAACATCTATAATTCTTAATCCTATTTTACTGCTAAGTAAACAGCCGTGTAGCGAGTATGTTATGTCAACAATATACTTGGTCCAAGCTCTCATTAGATTAAGGAGATAAGTCTACTTAATCCATTAAATCTTTTCCCCCTAATTACAGGTAACATTCTTTCCATCCTATTGGAGGAAGCTGAGGTGTAGTCCAATAATATAAACAGCCAAGAAGCGATTAAGCAGGCACCGCTCCTGTGCCAGGTAAGCCCATTACGGGCTCACCATAAGTGCTACTCGGCCCGCTCTTGTGCCAGGTAAGCCCATTACGGGCTCACCATAAGTGCTACTTGCCCCGCTCCTGTGCCAGGTAAGCCCAGTACGGGCTCACCATAAGTGCTACTTGCCCCGCTCCTGTGCCAGGTAAGCCCAGTACAGGCTCACCATAAGTGCTACTTGCCCCGCTCCTGTGCCAGGTAAGCCCATTACGGGCTCACCATAAGTGCTACTTGCCCCGCTCCTGTGCCAAGTAAGTTACAGGCTCAAGTTCAAGTTCAAGTTCAAGTATGTTTATTGAGATAAGCAATAAATACATCTCAAAGGGATAGAGTAGCTTAGGCTATTTCTACCCCCCTCTACTTCAAGTCCCTCAAGGGGACTTGAAGGACATTCAGCACCGCTCCTGTGCCAGGTAAGTCCACTACGGGCTCACCATAGCCCGTGCTACTTGGAACTTGTTCCGAGTAGTTGAATCTATAACAACAACAACAACAACGATTAAGCACATTACGGGCTCACCATAGCCCGTGCTACATGGATATTTCGTTCCGAGTAGCTAAATCTAAAACAACAACAACGATTAAGCACATCCTGGTCAAAAAGGTGTCCAGAAGCTGGACATCCTCATAAAGACTGTCAAGCAGTATCCTCCCCCGCGATAACAGCTTGACGATTAAATGCAACCTCAGAATACTGAAATTACTGAACAAAAAATTATACCACTTACGGGCTATTCATGCCCGTGCCACCTCTTGGGTTGCTTAATCTTTATCAATCAATCAGATTAAGCACAAGTTTCAGCCCCGCTTCTGTGCCAGGTAAGTCCATCACGGGTTCACCATAGCCTGTGCTACTTGGAACTTTTAGTTCCTAGTAGCTGAATCTTAAACAACAACTATTAAGCATCAGTACATTTTTTTTTTAGATATATACAAGAGTTGTTACATTCCACTTGTTACAGCCACTAGTACGCGTAGCGTTTCGCGCAGGTCCCTGGAATACGATCCCCTGCCGCGAAGAATCGTTGTTACAACCAAGTACACATTTTACTGTTGCGTTAAACAGAGACTACAGTTAATTTCTACAGTGATTCAGATAACTTCAGTTCAGATGCTTCAGAGTTACCACACCTCTTCAATCTCAATAATGTAGCACTCGGTGTATGCAGCTCTTATCGACCCCAAGACGCTCCAGCTTCGACACAGAGCAGATAGCAGACTACGACCACATCGAGTTTAGACACTCACCACCCCATCGAGTTTAGACACCCAGATTCCCCATCGAGCCGCCACGCTCGCCCGCATCCAGGTCCGCGGCTCCGACCTCACTCAGCTCTGTTCTGCTCCAAGCTCCGTCTCAACGTCTACGACACTGCTGTATCCAAGACTACTAAGTAAATATGAAAATCCACTAAACACTGTATCTAATCTACCCAACAACGTAACATAATCGTACGTTATGTTACATACGCATTAGGTGACAGGAAATATGCCCAACCATTTGTCCCTCTCGGGATTCGAACCCGGGATTCCTGATTACAAAGCGAGAAAATCCCAACTGGAAAAGGTTAGCAGTTAGGCGCAATTGGTGAGGGGGGGGGGGAGGTATGTCTCGACACAAGCTTAAAGTACTGTATGTACTATACACAGGTTTTGTCCCGACAACGGTCGCCGGCAACAATGTGCTCCAAAGGCGTTCGTGGCTTCTCGCTGATTCATGCGCTGGATTGATGCATGTAAACTCTACTATATTTCATAGACGCTAGGATCGTACCCGATACCTTCGTAAACTGTGATTACATATACAGTTCAAGCTCCTGTGAACACTATTTAGAAGTATGTAATATAATTTATGGACTTATAGAGAATCATACTCCCTAGTAACGCTAATAAACATTGTAGCTTATGATGGCCGTCTGGGCTATAAATAGATGACGTATTATTTACTAAGATATTGATATTTATTTATTTATTTGAAATTCCTGCGTATACATGATAGAACTGATGAGTTAGCCAAGAAATCTGCCTTCAAGGAAGGAGCTGACTACACTTTTGGATTGACTACAAGCAGCCTGAGAACGCTGATATAACAACACGGCTGAGGGGACAGCGCTCGGGAGTCGTGGTCCTAAGGGCCCGGGTTCGATTCCCGGTCAAGGCGGATATAAATGGGCAGTTTCTTTCACCCTAATGCCGCAGTAAATAGGTAGCTGGGAGTTAAACAGCTGCTACGGGATAATACAATGATCACAAAAACACTTATCTAAGTATGCAGAATAACCACATGTGAAAAATAGAGAATGCTTAACGCGTTTTCGGCTAATTCGCCTTCATCAGAGCAAAGTAGAATGACGTCATGCTCTGATGAAGGCGAATTAACCGAAAACGCGTTAAGCATTCTCTGTTTTTCACATGTAGTTATTCTGCACACACACACACACACACACACACACACACACACACACATAATTACCTTACATATATAAAATGTAAGGTAATGAAACTAGGAGGAGGAACTAGGAGGCCAGTCACTGGATACCGAATGTGAGATGAAGTTCACGAAACGGACAGAGAGAAAGATCTGGGAGTTGATATCACTCCAAACTTGTCTCCCGAAGCCCACATCAAAAGAATAACATCAGCGGCCTATGCGAGGCTGGCTAACATCAGAACTGCTTTCAGAAACCTGTGTAAGGAATCCTTCAGAACCTTGTATACCACATATGTAAGGCCAATCCTGGAGTACGCAGCCCCAGCATTGAGCCCGTATCTAGTCAAGCGCAAGACGAAGCTGGAAAAAGGTCAGAGGTATGCCACTAGGCTAGTCCCAGAACTAAGAGGCATGAGTTATGAAAACAAACTACGTGAACTGCACCTCACGTTGCTGGAAGGCAGAAGAGCTAGGGAAGACATGATCACCACATACAAAATTCTCAGGGGAATTGACAGGATAGACAAGGATGGATTATTTAATACGGGTGGTACACGCACAAGGGGACACAGGTTATGGAATGACAAGGACAAAGCAGCAGTGAATGAAGTACTAAAGGCACTAGACATGGAAGGGGCTGAGCATAGCATTGAGAAGGTTTTCAGGCTAGGCCGGTACAACAAAGACCGAGACCGAATGATAAAGATAGTGTTTGCAAACGAGAACACAAAAGAGAAGATCCTATCAAGGAAGAGCTCCCTGAAAAACGTGGGAAAATTAAAAAATGTATTCCTCCAGAGAGACATGACAAAGGAGGAGAGAGCCATGGCGGCAGAAGCAAGGAAGAGGCGCAGGGCGAGAGGGGAAAACCAGGAAGTCACAGCTCCCAGCACAACACCCCCAGAGGCGAGGGGGGAACCCACAACCAGCTACCCAGTAACACCAG